TAAAAACAACTGCCACTCAGGGTCCTTTTACTTATGGATAATGCTCCTGCTCACCTTCCAGACTTGGAAAATGAGTTGCTGGAGGAGTTCAGTTTTATAACTGTGAAGTTCTTGCCTCCTTACAACACTCCTCCCATCCAGCACATGGACCAGCAAGTCATTGCTAACTTTAAAAAACTCTACACCAAAGCACTTTTTGAAAGGTGATTTCAAGTCACTTCAAGGAGTTCTGGAAGGACCATTTCAATATCATCACCTGCTTGGGGCTTATACACAAAGCCTGGGGAAATGTGTCTTCCAAGACCATGCAGTCAGCATGGAAGAAATTGTGTCCTGACTTTGTGGCAGCCAGGGATGTTCAAGACTTTGAAGATGAGCCTGAGGCAGCTAAGGATATTGTGCCCCTGGAAAAAACCTTGGGCCTAAAGGTGACTGAATATAATGTGGAGAAATTGGTGGAGGAGCACAGAACTGAACTCACCACAGAAGAACTTGTAGACCTTCAGAAGGAGCAGCATCAGACTGCAGCAGAGGAGCTATCATCATCAGAAGAGGGAAGGGATGATGTGCCCATTGCACTTGTCAAGTAAATGTGTGCTAAATGGCATGAAGTGCAGGAGTTTGATGAAAAGTACCATCCAGACAAAGCAGTGGCCATCCGTCAGTCTAACATGTGCAATGACACTATAATGTCTAAATTCAAATGTTAAAAAAGAAAAAAAAAACATACCACGGGTGGGGTTTGAACCCGCGGTCAGAGAGTATGGTTTGTTTGCAATCGTGTCATTACGATTTCAAATGTTAAAATGGAACCTGAAACAAACCTCACTGGACAGGTTTTTAGTGAGACAAAGAACCAATGAGCCAGAACAGGGTGTTAATGGTGAAGAGAGACAAAGAAGAGAAATAACACCAGAAAGAGAGTTGCCTAACTTATCATCACTGGTCGACAACCAAAATTCTTCCGAGACCAGAATACCAATTTCCAACTAATTTTAGGTCACTGATAATGAATATCATGGTTAAAATTGTTTGTTAGCTCTACTTTTCAATATACACCTGTGTCACAAAAGGTTCCAACAGGCTTGCAGCAGTGTGTTTGTTACCACACTCACAGTCTCACTGCCCTTCATTATTGTTCCAGCAGTCATAGAAGGTGGTTGTGCTGTGCAAATTTATATTTTTGAGGTGAAAGGTAGGTGATTTTCTTAGCCAAACACTTTTTAAACTTATAATAAATATTCACTGAGCAAGCTATTGATATGCATGTGAGGCATATTATATTACTTTTATTTTCCTACTAAATGATATAAATATTTCTGCTTAGCTGTCATGTTCTGTATTATAATGATGAATTAACTGACTACAGACCCAATCACTGGAGGCTTTTAGTAGATTCATCAAAAATGAATCTGAAAGGTGTCTTGCTGCATAATGGCAATAGTAACCCATCAGTTCCTGTGGGCTATGCACCACATATGAAAGAAACTTATGAGAATATAAAGCATATGTTGCAATGCATGAAATATGATGAACATCAATGGCAGCTCTGTGGTGACTTAAATGTTGTTGCTCTTGTGATGGGCTTGCAGGGCGGATACACCAAGTACTGCTGCTTTCTATCTGAATGGGACAGCCGTGTAAGAGGTTCCCATTACATCAGGAGAGACTGGCCACCTCATCAATCATTGGAGACTGGGATGAAAAATGTTCAACATCCACCTCTCATTGAACCAAACAAAATTTTGCTACCACCCCTACACATTAAAATGGGGCTCATGAAAATCTTTGTAAAAGCTATGGGCAAATCCAGTCAGGGATTCAAGTATTTAACATCAAAATTCCCCTCACTGAGTGATGCTAAGATAAGAGAGGGAGTCTTCAATGGTCCTCAGATTCAAGAACTTCTTAAATATGGTGACTTTGAATCATACCTTCATGGGGAGGCGAAAGCTGCTTGGGAAGCATTCAAGTTAGTGGTGAAGGGATTTCTTGGAAACAGAAGGGAAGGTAACTATGAAGAATTGGTGGAAAAACCTCATCAAGGCTTACAAGAACATGGGATGTAACATGTCGCTTACAATTAACTTTTTGGACTCACATTTAGACTTTTTTCCAGCGAACTGTGGGGCAGTTAGTGACGAACATGGTGAAAGGTTTCACAAAGATATTTCAACCATGAAAAAATGAGGCACAAGAATGTTTGCAGACTATTTCTGGGCATTGGCAAGAGATGATTCTTCAGCCAACAATAAGCGTCAAGCAAAAAGGCAGAGAGTAGGTACGGATTAGAGCTTAAAACATACTGACACATATTGTACAGTATAATAATATAATCAAATATTACATGTCTCATTTCTTTAAACTTATAGCCTATGAGCCTATGAACACAAGCTAAACAATATACAGTCCTACTCTCATTATCTGTAATTTCCCCTAATTTACACTTACACTCACCCAAATGACTGTAAACATAAAATTCCTAATATGTATTGCTATTGCCTATTAAATCTTAAGTTAGTCCTGAATCCACCTAAGACACGCTTCCAATATAGTACAGTATAAGCTTTAATAGAAACAGACAAATCCAATCCCATTACTGAATTTACCATCTGTAATATTATTATATGACTCGTACTACCTCAATATTGTTAATCTACTTATGTATGTGCCTAGCTGGGTATGTATCTAATTATGTATTTATCTAATAATGTATGTTAAAATGTACTGCTCCATGACCTATATCAATATACGTAGAGTAAGAATTAGTATTGCTCTGCCTGAAATGCCTTGGCATGTTAGTGGCCTTCCTTGTTATTAACATTGCACAACATGTAAACCAAACATTGTAACCTTTACAAGGAAATAAAAAAAAATTACTTTTAATTTTAATAAACATTTTTCAAGGTGATATTAGGATTCAGGACATGAAAATACATAAGAATTAACTATTCTCATTTAAGAAGCATACAACTTTTCATAGACTGTTGACCAGTGAATTATTAGAAGGTAATTCTCCTTCCAAGCAATAACATCCTCCTCTCCTCCACCTCCTGCTTCCAATATGCCATTAGCTCTCCTCTGACAGGTAAGAGGCAGTTAAATTTTCATTTAGTATTCATTTTTACAATTTCCTCTGTGTTGTATAATTTTATACATTGTTTTATGTAGTAGTTAGTACTCATTATTAAATTGTAGTGTTGGTCTGGAATTAATTAATTCTATTTACATTATTCTTTATGGGGAAAATTGGTTTGGATGTTGACCATTTTGGTTGTCAAACCAACATCTGGAATGAATTAAGGTTTGAATGTATATGTATGAAGTATCTGTTATCTGGTCATTCTGCTGAGCAGAAAATAAAGCATTTATGAAAGTTTACCAATGGTTTTATTAGCCTCAGCCTGCCCTCAGGGGCCTCAGTCTGCCCTCAGGGTCCTCAGCCTGCCCCCAGGGGCCTCAGTCTGCCCTCAGGGTCCTCAGTCTGCCCTCAGGGTCCTCAACCTGCCCCAAGGAGCCCCAAGCAGTTTTGTTCAGCCTTGCAAAAAAAATTTTGGAGGCCCTGCCTATAGTAATAACAAGATACATGTACATACATTACTGCAAGAAATATTACCTGATCATCATGGCGGTGGTGAGTGTCAGAACGAGAAATTGAGGAAGAAGTAAAAAGCTGGCACTTGGTAAGGATAGCTAGTAGAAACTCATTGTGCAGGTGCACAGAATTGAGAGCCAAGAGATCCCTTGCATTCTTGTCAAATTCTTCTTTTGTTATCTGTAATTAAAAATATCTTTCTTGTTATATATAATTAAAAACATTTTCAGTTAAACATACAAATTAAAATGACTGGCCAGATTTTGACAACACTACAAATTTTATTAGTGTTTTTTATACTACACTCCACTTATCAAAAGTACAGGAGGGCCCTGATTATACAGAAGGTAAGGGTCCAGGCTACTGCTGTAAACCAAAAAACGCTGTAAAATTAATCATAAAGTTTTTCACTTTCAAATGTATATAAAAGCCTGATAACATGTTTACACTATCATATACAGCCACTTAGTGACATACTCGTTTACTTTTGGTGTCATTACCATCGGAAAAAGATTCTCTATCATTTCATAAGAAAAAATAAATTTTTTTTCTGATATACTGCGACACAGAGAAACACTTCAGGATTTAGGGTTGTGACAGTCAAAGGGTTAAATTATGATTTTATTAAACAGTACAGCCTCTCTTCACTTAGCAATGTACTCATTTACCAATGCCTCAAACTTACGATGGGCTCTCTAACCAGTATTCATACCTAAATAATGTGTATTAGAGCTGATTTCCTCTATTCTGTTTATTTCAATATACAGTATACTCCTGTATAAACAATGAAAAATATACCAGAAATGTTATAAATGGTGCAAAGGTGACATTAAAACAATATCAGAGATGGTTGACACAAACTCGCTACCATTATACATGTAGTATGCTCCTTACTTAGCGACAAATTCGTTTAATGATGTGGTCTCAGGAATGGAACTACGTCATTAAGTGAGGAGAGGCTGTATTGAGTAATATAGCTAGGCCTAAAAAATGCATATACAGTACACACATCACTTACTTTAAAATAGTTTATAGTGAGTAGTGAACAAATTTACCATTGGAAGTCTGAATAAATGAAGAATGGGTATACTAACTGAAAACTGCTGTATTAGTGAAATACATGTACTGTACTGTAAATTGAAGCACTGCAAAGCAAAGCCTGCCTGTGTATTATATGTACTTACTCATCTCATACCACCACATATGTGGTGGCAAGATCACCTACCATTACCTGTCAACCAACCCAGAGAACAGAAATCATGAACTTGACTTGTACATTATTTGAGGATTGGGAAATGTACCTGAAACGGGCAAGGAGTGTGGCTGTTATGCACTATAAGAATGTTTTGTTTACCTGGAGAGAGTTTCGGGGGTCAACGCCCCCATGGCTCGGTCTGAGACCAGGCCTCATGGTGGATCAGCGACTGATCAACCAGGTTGTTACTGCTGGCCGCACGCAAACTGACGTACGAACCACAGCCCGGTTGGTCAGGTACTGACTTTAGGTGCCTGTCCAGTGCCTTCTTGAAGACAGTCAGGGGTCTACTGGTAATCCCCTTTATGTATGCTGGGAGGCAGCTGAACAGTCTTGGGCTCTGGACACTTACTATGTTGTCTCTCAATGTACTCGTGGCACCCCTGCTTTTCGTTGGGGGAATGTTACATCACCTGCCGAGTCTTTTGTTTTCATAGGGAGTGATTTTCGTGTCAGGTTTGGTACCAGTCTCTTCAAGACCTTCCAAGTGTATATTATCATGTATCTCTCTCACTTGCATTCCAGTGAATACAGATCAAGGACCTTCAACCATTCCCAGTAATTTAGGTGCCTTACTGTACTTATGTGTGCCTTGAAAGTTCTTTGTACACTCTCCAGGTCAGCAATGGCACCAGCCTTGAAGGGGGCTATTAGTGTACAGCAGTATTCCAGCCTAGAGAGAACAAGCGATTTGAAGAGAATGATCATGGGCTTGGCGTCCCTAGTTTTGAAGGTTCTCATTATCCATCCTATCATTTTCCTAGCAGATGCGGTACACTGTTGTGGTCTTAGAAGGCGAGATACTCTGATATTAGTCATGCTAGGTGTGATAGTGGCCCTCTCTGTAATTAGTATTTTATAACATGTAAACCACACAATATACTATAATATGTAAACCCCATACTGTAATCTTTATAGAGAATAAACTTGATTTGATTTGATTTGATATCACTCCCAGGTCCTTCACATTACTTTTTCGCGCTATTGCATGGTTAGAATTTGTCGTATACCCTGGTACATTTTTAATTTCCTCAAGTTTTCCTTATCTGAGTAGTTGAAATTTCTCCTCATTGAACTTCATATTGTTTTGAGTGGCCCATTTGAAGATTTGGTTGATGTCTGCTTGGAGTCTTGTGGTGTCTTCAATGGAGGTTACTGCCATGGCAATCCTGGTGTCATCTGCAAAGGCAGACATGGAGCTATGGCTTACATCTCTATGTCAGGAATGCAGATGAGGAATAGAATGGGAGCGAGTACTGTGCCTTGTGGAACAGAGCTTTTCACCATAGCTGTCTGGGACTTTACTCTGTTTACTATTACTCTTTGTGTTCTATTTGTCAGGAAGTTAAAGATCCATCTACCAACTTTTCCTGTTATTCCTTTATCACGCATTTTGTGCACTCCTACACCATGGTCACACTTGTCGAAAGCTCTTGCAAAGTCTGTGTATACTACATCTGTATTTTGTTTATCTTCTACAGCATCCAGGACCTTGTCATAGTGGTCCAGTAGCTGGGACAGGCAGAAGCAACCTGCTCTAAACCCGTGTTGCCCTGGGTTGTGTAACATGGATATCTAGGTGGTTGGCGATCTTGCTTCTTAGAACCATCTCAAAAATATTTTTATGATATGTGATGTTAGTGCTATCGGTCTGTAGTTCTTTGCAATTGCTTTACTGCCACCTCTGTAGAGTGGGGCTATGTCTGTTGTTTTTAGTGTGTGTGGGATGACCCCCTGAGTCCATGCTTCCTCTCCATAGAATGCTGAAGGCACGCGATAGGGGCTTCTTGCAATTCTTGATGAACACGGAGTTCCATGAGTCTGGGCCTGGGGCAGAGTGCATGGGCATGTCATTTATTGCTTTTTCAAAGTCTTGTGGAGTTAGGATAATATCCAAAATTTTTGAGATGACCAAATTTTGGGTTCCATTCATAAAGAATTCATTTCGATTGTCAACCCTTAGTCTGGGCAGCAGCTCGCTGAACACTGAGTCATATTGGGACTGTAATATCTCATTCATTTCTTGGCTGTCATCTATGTATGTCCCATTGCACCTAAGCAGGGGCCCAATACTGGTTGTTGTTTTTCTTTTAGATTTGGCATAAAAGAAGTATTTTTGTTTTTTTTCAATTTCCTTTATTGCTTTTAGTTTTTCCTGTGATTCTTGTCTCCTGTAAGATTCCTTCAGCTTAAGTTCGATATTTGCAATTTCACTCACCAATGCCTCCCTTCATATTTCAGATATAGTGGCCCCTCTCAGCAGCTCTGTGACTCTTTGCCTTCATCTGTGTAGGGAGCTTCTTTCTCTTTCTAGTTTACATCTTCTCTTCCTTTTTCTTAATGGAATGTGTCTTGAGCAGATCCCAAGAACCACAGAGTTCATTTTTTCAAGGCAAATGTTCAGATCCGTGTTGTGGGGTAGGTTAAGTCACAACATTTGAAACTACACCTTGAGTGCCCCTCAAGTCTCAAACACAGCTCACCCCTCCAAACCTCCACTCATCTCACTCTGGCTTCCCTTTCCTCTCACAGAGCAGCAAGGTACACTTAAGTGGCAATCAGGTTTTGTGTAACCTAGACTGCTAATAACAATGGGTAGGATGGCATGCAGGAATACCTGTGGAACATGTGGAGAGGTCATTGGAAAAAAATATAGGATTAAATGTACAGTCTCTCCTCACTTAGCAACATAGTACTCGTTTACTGATGACTCAGGCTTACGATGGGTTCTCTGACCAGTATGCATACCTAAATACTGTAATGTATATTAGAACTGATTTCCTCTATTCTGTTTATTACAATATACAGTACACTACTGTATATTGTATAAACATTCATACCAGAAATGTTATAAATAGTGCAGAGGTGACACAAAGGTGATACAAACCCACTACAGGTCCACCATCACAAATCCGGCAATCAGTTATTCAGTTCCATCAGTTATCCGGCACTGATTTCAGTTAGCATAATTTCAAATTTCCAGGGTCACCACACCAACCTACTGCACCTGTTTGGTCATGCTACTCGCTGCATAAATCATTCCGATTTCCTTTTCATTTATTGTTATAACCTGCTTACTTTTAGCCCTAGCCATGGTTCCAACAAATAAAAGAAATGCTTCTTGTTGTGTAAGTCACATACACAGTACACTGTCCATAAAAGATAAAGTGGCTTTGAAGCAACTGTCGGTTGCCATAAGCTCAGTCTCGTGATGCAGGGGAATATGCTTTATTATTACGTTAATATCAACACTACAGATTATTTACCTATCACAGTTGATCTAATATGACATAATTAACAACATAAATAACAAAAATATTGTAAATACTCCAGAATGAATAATATTTGGCATAATACCGAGTGGTTTGGAGGAGGTATGAAAAGGATATGGGGTACAAGTACCATCCTCCTATTCGTCTTGGTAGCATATATTAGAGAAAACAGAGTATAGCACAGGGCTAACTGTGATATACACTCGTAATGCACCATAAAACTGAAACAAAAAAGCTATTTTCTCTACACAGATTATCATACAGAGCAGCATATGTGTAGAGAACCTAGGATAACCCAAAAAAGTCAAAGTGACTTATTTTGAGTACCTGGCTTGGGCTTGACATATATGATTTTTGGTATATATTTTTTTTTCTCAGTTGTTTGGTGGGCATTTTATTGAAACTTGGGCAATGTACGATGGAAAGATGCTTCTTTACGTACACCAAAAATGACCGTAAATAACGGAGTTCACTTCTCAGCCATTAGTCTCCCCTTAGCGGTATTTTCGTATGGTTTTGTGGGTGTATTCTCGTTTTTTTGGTCTCATTTGATAGAATGAAAGATATATTACAGAAAAAGATATGATTTTGATAGATGAAAAGTACCTTGAAATTGAGCTCAAAGTAGCAGAAATGTTCAGTTCTTTGGTGAT